TTTCTTAGGTGAAGCGTAAAAATGATCAATGAAATTTTTTTTTCGATTCATAAAGAAAATAAACTAATAAAGATAGAAAGGTAAGAAATTCACCCATTTATCAAACCCTATAGAAAAAGAAAATTGCCCAACTGTCAAAATGACAATATGACTTCACAACCCTCTTTATATACGACTAAGATGCTGTCATTTAATGAAGAAATAAACAGATAGGAGGGGTGTATGATCTTGATCATCTTTTTATATGATTAAGGATGTGGTTAATCTCGCATGCCACGGGACGAGTGGTGCCGCTCTCCATGTTAATCTCAGATCCCAATTAACATGTATAACTTTTTATAAAATAAAATTATTTTTTTTCGCACAAGAATTACTCTTGATCAAGTAGCTATTTGGGTATATTTCATGTCGGAGCCTACGTTTATAGATCTTGTTAGGTGCAAAGCTTATCCTTTTCTTCTAATAAAAACAAATTAGGAATGAAAGTTTGGAATCGTTAATCGAAGCTAATTAGATTCTAAGTTTCATGGAAACCAGCCTAGAACTTGTATGACTAAGTCAGTTTTCGGGTCGAACCGATTTAATTACAAACAGACTTAGATTTGGGGTTGCCAAGTGCATGCTCAGATGTCCCAAATAACACACACATGTCCAAGACTATATTTATATATATACAAGTTGAGTGGCCTGTACCCGGCTCCGCAATTGCTAAGATTAGCCTGTTTTTTAGAATCGGCGTACGTAAGCTCTGTAAGCTCTCACGCATCTTGTGTGTTTGAGTGGGCTGTTATCAATAAATTGACTTACACCTCTGCCCCCCTCTTATCTTCACCTTTCATTGGACCTTCTCTTTTTGCAATTTAAGTTTAGACATGTACCATTAGACTATAATACAATTAGGATTAATACCACGAAAAATCCCGAACTGGTACACCTCTGACAAATTTACCTCAAACTAATTTTTTGACAACCAAAAACCCCAAACTTGTACACCTGTGACAAATTTACCCCAAACTAATTTTTTGACTACCAAAAACGTCAAACTAGTACATTTGCAACAAATTTACCCTCTATTAAATTGAATTAATACAAAAAAAATTACAAACTAGTACACCTAGGACAAATGGAGGGTAAAACCTCAAACTGGTATATTCATCAACTACCATTTGTCATTTAACTAAGCAATTTGACAGCAAAATTTAACGAAAACTAACGGAAGATAAATTTGTCACGGATTGGGATATTTGCTTGAAATTTTGTCGGGGGGTTGTTCCTCAAGTTGCTAGTGAGGAGGTGTTGGGAGTGTTGTTGCTATAACTCGGCTGGACAAAATTGATAATTCATTGGAGGTCTTGAGTTAGCTTTAATGCTTGATGTGCCTAACTCAATTACAAACGTTCTTCCCTTTCTGTGGATTTTTGGCGAAAATAACTTGGGTACTAGGCTAGTGATCAGCATGATTTAATGCAGACTACAGTTTGATATTGTAGTTTTACAAAATGTTGCTATTATCATCAAGACAAAAGAATGGAAAAGTACCAAAAAAGTCCTAAACCTATTTCATTTGTGCCAATTCAGTTCTTAACAGATCTCATGCCAAGGTACGTCGAAGAACTGACAATTTTTCGATCATATCAATAGAAGCTAGAAGCCCTCAATTTTTAGTGCTCGCTGTTTAGAATTTGTTTAGTAACATTTCTGTTCCGAGAAACAATTTCTATTCAGAAATAATTTTTTATATTTTTATTCCCTAGGCGAGTTTCTGAGAAAAAAACGTGTTTAGTAATTGTCCAAAATTTCTATTCCCGGAGTAGAAAAAGAACATAAATGTATTTGGTAGGATACTAAAAATTTCTACTCCTAATTTTTTTCATTTAATTATAAAATTGTCGGTGGAGACTTAACGATTCATGTTTGGATAAAATTGGACTAGAAATAGATAATAATATATTATGATATAGAATTGGATGATTTTAATACAATCATAAAGAAAATTACTCCTTATAGACAAAGCAAATACCGGGTAGTGGTCGAGAAAATTGCAGTTTAGGGGATTTAACAATTCATGTTTGGATAAAATTGGACTAGAAATAGAATAATAATGCGTTATGATATAGAATTGGATGACCTTAATACAATCATAAAGAAAATTACTCTTTATAGACAAAGCAAATACCGGGTGGTGGTCATGGAAATTGCAATTTAGGGTGAAGGATTTTAGGATTTTAGTATTTTGGGTTAGGGGTTAGGGTTTTAGGATTTCGGTTTTGAGGTTTAGGGTTTGGCATTTTGGGATTTAGATTTTGGATTTTAGAGTTTAGGTTTGGGGTTTAGGCTTTGGAGTTTCGGGTTTGGGGTTTTGAGTTTAGGGTTTTAGGAATTCGGGTTTTGGGTATTGGGGTTTGGGATTTAGGATATAGGGTTTAGGGTTCAGGGTTTTGCGGTTTAGGATTTAGGGTTTGGAATTATGATTTTAGGGTTTAGATTTTAGGGTTTCGGATTTGGAGTTTTGGGGTTTAAGGTTTATTGTTTTGGGTTTGGGATTTGGATTTTGGGATTTAGGGTTTAGGGTTTTTTATTTTAGTTTTATGGGTTTTAGGGTTTGGGTATTGAGGTTTAAGGTTTTGGAGTTTAGGGTTTGAGGGTTAAGGTTTAGGATTTGGGATTTAGGGTTTAGTATGAAAATATCTTGTGAAAGAGAGAGAGTTGATATTGTTTCTCTTTTTGTTCGAGAAACAGAAAAGTAGATTTTTTTTACTTCTTATTTCTGTTCCAAATCTATTCTCTAATCACTTTTCTGTTCCAGGGAACCAAAATACTAAGGGTGCGTTAGGTAACCATTTTGTTCATCAGAAACAATTTCTGTTTACTAAATAGTGACAGATTTTATTCTTTTGTTCCGTGGAACAAAAAAAGAACAAGAATCCGTTTGGTAAATTTTTTGTTCCTGGGCACAAATTTGCACAAATTTGTTCCCAGAATCAATTTTGGAGCAAATCAAGAAGTAAAAAAAAGTTGCTTCTTAATTCTGGAAACAAAAATAAAAAATAGAAGAAATTTTTTTTCTTTTTCTTCTTTTATGTTCTTCTTTCCTGCTGTTCTTCTTTCTTGGCTGACCAATCGGCCACAGACCAAGGCTAGTGAGGGCGGCCCTTGCCTAGGCCGTGAGCCTCGAGGGTAACCCTCGCAGGCTCGAGCGAGGGCTAGAAAAGGTCGGCGAGGACAACCCTTGCCCAGGCTACGAGGGTCCAGCCCTTGCCCAAGCCGGCGAGATCCGCAGTGCCCTCGTCGGCTCTGGCCTGTGGCCAGTCGCCGGCCATGGCCAAGAAGGAGAAGAAGAAAAAAAGTAAAGAAAAGAAAAGAAATTTTTTTTTTAAAATTATTAATAAAAAGAAATTTTGCGTCGTTACCAAATACATTTATGTTCTTTTTCTATTCCAGGAATGAAAATTTTGGGCCGTTACCAAACATCTTTAAATGCTTAGAAATTATTTCCGAGAACAGAATGGTTGCCAAACGCACCCTCAGAAATGATTTTTTTTTTATTCTGTTCCCAGAAATAATTTCTAAGCATTTGAAAGCGTTTGGTAATGGTCCAAAATTTTCATTCCTAGAATAGAAAAAGAACAGAAATACGTGTGGTAACTGAATAAAATTTCTTTTTACTAATAATATTTTTAAATATTTCTCTCTTTCTTTTTTTCTTTTTTTTTTCTTTTTTTCTTCTTCTCCTTCTTGGCCATGGCTAGCGACCGGCCAGCGAGGGCAGCCCTCACCGACCATTTCCAGCCTAGGCCGCGAGCCTCGAGGGCGACCCTCACCTAGGCTGCGAGGGTCCAGCCTTCGTTTGTGGCCGGCGAGAGCCACGACGCTCTCGCCGACCCTGGCCTATGGCCATCCGCCGATCGCCGGTTGCTGGCTACCCGACCATGGCCAAGAAGAAGAATAGGAAAGAAGAAAAAGAAAAAAAAATCTTTTCTATTTCTCATTCTTGTTCCCATAATAAATAATTAACTTTTTTTTGCTTATTGATTCTGGTCCAAAATTGATTTTGGGAACAAATTTATGCCCGGTTGGCAAGTTACCAAACACACTCTAACTAACGTTACAAAACGAATTTATGTTCTTTTTCTGTTTCGGGGAACAAAAAACGGAGAAACAGAAACATTACTAAACAGGATCTTAGCTATTCCCTACTGAAAACTTGAAAAGCAAATGGATCTGACACAGGGAAAGAGCAATGGGGCTTAATTAGGACGATTTTCCTGAATTTTTTTTATCCTATGGTTTAAGCTTTTACGCTTGGGACTCTTTTTTCGCAACCATTTGCGCTTGGACTCTTGTGCACATCCTATGCTGTCTTTTGGCGGAGCAAAGTGGCTTCTCAGCTACCGTCCTCTTAAAAATATGTTGAGGTTGCTAAGAAATACCAGTTAACCCTCGCTCAACTTGCTCTTGCATTTGCAAGAGATCCGCCGTTTCACGACAAGTTCAATCATTCACGCAACCTCAATCCAGCATGACAAGTTCACTGACCATCGGCGAGGCCCAGGCAACCTCCGTTGGCCCTTTCCGGCGATGGGCGACAATGGCAGCCATCGGCAATGGCCTTGGTTTGTGTTTTTTTTTTTTGTAGTATGTGTACTTTTTTTAGGGATAAATGCACTAAAAGTCCTAAAACTTATCGTGAAAGTGCAATTGAGTTCTAAAACTTTCAAAAAATGCAATTAAGTCCTAAAACTTATCACAAAAATGCAATCGAGTCCTAAAACTTGTCAAATTGATGCAATTAAGTCCTTCAGTTAACACCGTCAATTTATTTAATGAAAAATGCTGACGTGGTATTTTTTAATTATTTTCTCTCTCCTATGTGGTATTTTTTATTATTTTTTCTTCAAATCTGATTTTCATTAAATTAAAAATTTTAATAAAAAAGCTAAAATGTTATTTAAAAAACAAAAGTGAAAAAAAAAAAAGAAAATGGCAAGGTAGGTAGGGCCTCACCGGTGGGCGCTACCGCCGCCGACGCTGCCCATCGCCGGATTATGTATTTCCGCCCGCTCAGGGTTGTCTATGTTGTCTCTGAGTGTACACAGTGTCTCCTCCGAGCCATTAGCGCTAGCACCCTTGCTAGCGTTGCAATCGTCGCGGCCTTGCCAGCGCCTCTCCTGTCGTTCGCGCACACCTCCCTCGCCTCTGTCGTACCTTGGGCTGAGGATCTGGAGCTCGCTCTGGACCGTGACGACGTTGCCCCACTGGTCGTCCTGCCTCATGAGCCTTCGGGCTAGCTCACTCTCAATGTTGAAGGAGTCGCTGAGGATGCCATCATTGAAGCCGCTGAAGATGTTGCCGAAGCTCTCCCTTGTTGCTGTTGTTGTTGTCCGCGTCGGTGGCGTTGTTGTTGTTGCTGGCCCTGCCCGCTTCGATTCTGGCCTCGGCCTTTCCATCTCCGGCTCCTCCCCCTTGTTGTGAATTCCCAGCTAGGAAGAGCTTCTGGGGAGAGAAATTAGATGACCCGTGCAAAACATAATTAAAGATCGTTTGGAAGTCAGAATCATGTCACCAGTGGCTAAATTAGCAGAGAAATGCTAAGATATGTACAAAGATATCAGAAAATAGGCATACCCTTAAAGGGCGTTGAGTTAATATAGCCATAGATTTAGACGTTCATTTGCAATTTTACAATTTGTCACACGTCCCTGTAGACCAGTCCGAGCATATTCCTGAGTTAAAATGGCAATTCCTAGTGTATGCTCTGGGAAACATGCATTCTTTTGAAAAGTGCTAGTGTTCTAATTGCTAAAGAAGAAATTAGTCTGTGATGAATGAAGTGCACTGCACAATTCAAGAGGGTTTTACCCAATCTGACGGTCGAGATTCAGTTTAAAGGTTGAGATTCATTCTAACGAATGTATTAAGTTCAAAGACTCGACTTATTATACCAACAAACTTAACCGAATCATTGCTATACGACGTTCTTACCCGGATGTTCTCATCGAGCCGGTTTTCTCCATTGGCAGTGTAAAGTACAGAAACCAGGACAAGATCGGACCGACCCTGCTGTAGATCCAGCGGGTGGCACCAGCAGGCGACGCGACGACATTGCCATCACGGATGAACTGGACCTTCCAGTGTTGGTCTCCTCTTTGCTCGCTCCCCTCACCTCTCATGCCTCGGCCTCAGCCTTGGAACTGAGATCGAGATGACTCGTCAGATTGGTTCGTCTCAAGGCAACCCGGAATGACCACGTCATGAAGCCCACTTCCGGCGACCAGGGAAAAATGTAGTCCTTGTGGAGTTATTTACCATCTTGGGGAGAAAAAAAGGCTCAACTCTAAGAACAATTAACAAATGAAAATCCACCTTTATTAGGCTGCTTGATTGGTGAATAAATATGTGTGAAGATTCAATTCTGATTCGTATATGTTTTTTTCTTATGTTGAAAAACAAAATGAAATATGAGATATTCATGCTAGCGGGTTGATCAATCCGAATATGATTCGCTTGAGACAGGCTCTGCCAACTGGCTTTTAATATTATATTGTTCAATTAGAATAGACGCTTTCCATATTACAATAGGGTTAATACCACGAAAAATCCAAATCGATACACTTGTGACAAATTTACTCCAAATTAATTTTTTTCACTATAAAAAATTCAAAACCGGTACACTTATGACAGATTTACCCTAAACTAATTTTTGGATCACCAAAAACTCTAAACTAGTACATTTGTGACAAATTCACCCTCCGTTAAATTGGATTAATATTACGAAAAATCACAAAATGGTACACTTGTGACAGACGGAGGGTAAAATCCCAAACTGGTATACCCGTCAACTGTCATGTATCATTCAACTCAGAAATTTGACTGTAAAATTTAATGAAAACTAACAGAGGGTAAAATTGTCACATATGTATCAGTTAAGGATTTTTCGTGGTATTAACCATATTATAACAATATGATGGGCCATTCATTTTTATAATGTTCTTTCATATCAAACATGATTGTCGAAGACTCAAAATGCACCAATTGCATGCAATGATAACAATTGTCACTTTGTGCAGCAAACATAGATGAGTGCACATAAATAACATTAACCCTCACCTTGAACCACGTACATGAGTTCCGGGGCATCGGTGAAGGCGGGGAAGAGGAGCTCGTGGTGGCAGATGACGTGGTGGACCCCGAGCTCAGGAACTGCTCATCCTCCTTGTTGACACCTAAATTTTGACTAACCTTTACCAAATTAATTGCATACAAAATTATGCATTAAGCTTTGTTGACACCTAATTTTTAGCCGACGCGTCATTAAAAGCAGAAAATTCGAGATTATGATTTCTGATCGCGACGGAACTCATTTCTTGAACAAAAAGTGTCGTTTTTTAATTCTGTCTGTTGGTCTAGCTTCTGTAAATAATTTTCTATTTATTTCATGCAAAAACCCGAAAGTCAAACGGTTGACTTTTTTGTCAACCCTTTGACCAAAAGTCAACCCCGGATCAAATTGGGGATTTTTGCATAAAAAGATTCCTTTCAAGTCCAATTTCACTTTAGAAGTAGAAATTTCATAAAAATTCAAAGATTTAATCATAAAATCAAACTCCTAGTGAAAAGTCAACTAGGGTTTGACTTTTAATCAAACATTTGACCAAAAAAATTGAAAAATACAAAAATCCAAAAATCATTTTATTTTACATTCAATTTGCCTTTGGCATTTGAAATTTTACAAAAATCGATTTAGAATCAACTTTTTCCAATTTGCGGAATTTGGTTCAAATCGGCCAAAAATGAAATTTCTTCATTTCTAGTCATTTTTTAGGTTAGTTTTCTTCACGACATTTGATCTAGAGGTCATATTATATTCAATTTTGGAACAAATTTTGTAATTCCAAGCCAAACGCAAAAACCCCCAATTTAGGCCCTAATCAGTGATTTTGATCAATTCTTCATGATTTGCGCAATTGAGACACGAATGAGCCTAATTTCTTATATGAAATCCAAATTCAAAATCAATTTTGGAAGATTCACATGAATTTGAGCCAATTTAATCAATTTAGCGATCTAACGATTGAGAAGTCTAAGAGTAATTGGTCCAATTAGTGCAATTCAACTTGACCCACTCTAGACTAACATCCAGTTTGATGAATTGAGGATCAATTTGATTAATTGAACTTCAATTAAATTTGTTAGTCTAGCTTGGCCATGCAATTACCCAAATTCAAGAACAATTGAGCTAAACAAGTTAAATTCGATCAATTTGTGCATGAATTTCAAATTGGTTCAATCCAATTTGATCGAATTCAATATTAATGGGGTCAATTAATCATGATAGAGATCAAATTGTACAAAATTGGAACAAATGGAATCAAGGATTGAACCGGTTCAACTTGGCCAAACTCGGGACAAACCGGTTCAACCCGGTTTGATTCGAATTGAACCGGTCTGATTGGACTGGCCATTTTCCGGTCGAAAATCCGGCGATCGACGGTCCATTCCGACTAGCCAAGGCCGACCACATCCCTTTGAGCCCAAAAATGACAAAAATGCTCTTAATTGAAAATTACGAAAATGCCTCTAAGTGAAATTACTAAAATACCCTTCCTTAAGGATTAAGCAAATTAATTAGGGGATAAGCAAATCAATCATGGCCATTCATTTAGAATTGATCATGTCCATCCATAATGCCATGTCACCAATCCTTAGCCTTTAAGGAATATTCTTAATCATTAAGGATGGATTCTAGGCCATTGGATCAATCTAAGGGCTAGGATTCAAAGTTGAGGGGAGTATATAGTTTTTTTTCCCCTCCAAAATTGGGAAAGCTCTCACATTTTCAGATCTGGTTTTCTCTCTCTTTCTTCTCCTTCTCTCTCCATCTCACGTTATCTCTCTCTCCCTCTCCCTCTCTTGGCCGTGAGTTTTCTTTGCTCACGCCGGCCACTTGCCGGCCGATTTCCGGCGCACCGTCGCCACTCCGGTAGCCCCCCGGACGTCCTAAAGCCAGTCGCAAGGCTGGCCACATCTGCTGGTGGCCGGAGCATCTCCGGTCAGCTCCATCTCTCTCTCGATTGCATCACCGGTGGCCGAACCGGTGATCTGTCCAGCCGATGATTCCGGCATTCCGGCGTCCTTCCTAGGCAGTCCGAGGCTTGTGATCATCATCCTTAACCTCATCTCGAAGCTGTGGTGGCCGGCTTTCACCGGAAAAGCCACCGGAGTTCAACTTTGAGCTTGATTTTACTTCTCTTTCTTTAGATCGCAATCTTACGCCAATCTTCTTACCTTGTGACGTAGATATCGGGAGCTATATTTGGCGCCATTCCGGAGTTCATTGGTGGCCAAAATAGCTCGTTTGAGCTCAGCAATACTCTCGAACAAGGTAAGTACACTTGGATGTTATTCTGTAAATTCGTGTACAGAGAAACCTGCATGTTTGAGATGCTGATTTCAGCTCGTTAATGTCAAAATCTTGCGAAGTGATGAACTCGAGAGTCGTAAAAAACGTCTCAAGCTTTGATTTGATATATTGTATGCCTCAATCAGACTTAGGTTGCTAGGTCAAAACTCTTTCGGAAGTTAGGATCAGAATCTGGAATGTGATGTTAAAGTCTGTTCTGATGATTTCCTGATTGACGTTGTGCTGTTCTATGATTTTTATAATTTTCTACGATCGTTTTTTGAAGAAACTTTCTTCATAAAAGTCGTAGAAAACATCTTAATCTGTTCATCATAAAATTCTCATAAAATTCCAAGCATTTTAGAATTGTACGATCTGCAACGCCATATATGCATAGATCTGGTGACAGACTAGTTTCTGACTGGCCTTCATGTATTCCTCGATTTTTATAAATTCATGTGTTCAAAATATGAAAAACTTTTCTTCATAAAAGTTCACACTGAGATCGAGATCTTTCGAGTAATACTAATTTCATCAAAATCCGATTTCATTTGGATTTTCAAAATGAATTTTTATGATCTCATCAGTATCTGTGTTCAGATCTGATTTTCATTCCTTTGGAATCCAAAAGATGTTTCTCCGAATTTGATAAATTTAGAGTCCTCCTTTGCGAAAACTCAAAACTAAAAAGTTGTTCCTTGGGGTATCATTATGTTGACTGGAAATTTTTAGGGCCTAATAGCAATTTATAGGGGGTCAATTTGCTAAAACTTTCATATAAGATCTTCTCGGATTAAAATTCGATTTGCAATTGAGTCCTTTGTGAAAAAATAATTTTATAAAAATTTGAAGGACTTTTTAGCAAAAACTCAAAACATGAAAGTTGTTACACACGGAGAATCCTAACTGTATAAAAAGAGTCAGACGGTTTTGATAAGGTTTATTATTTTTCCCGCTATTATTTTGAAATCCCTAACAGAACCGGGTCCAGTCTGTCACCGAGAGTGAAATTATCTGTTTCGTGAAAATCGGTGGGGATTTAGAAAA